TTTAGTATGAACGGAGCATCGGAGGTTCGAATCCCCGTGACAGCTGGAAGGTAACATTTATGTTGGAAGACAGATGTCCTGTGGTGACAAAGTTATGGTATGCTTTGTCGCACCTCCAGGGGTCTTGTTCGCATGTTGTAAAGGGAAGTCCACAGGGAGGAGAACCGCTTCTCGAATGTCCGGTCTAAGTGTGTATAAGCTGTGACTGCATCCGAGTTTACCCGGGTGGTGAACCCAGGGGGGATGACCGCCACACCTCATGATTAGTTGTGTGAAACTCGAACACCTGAGTCATAATAAAAAAAAATAGTGATTTTGTTTAAATGAAACCGAAGCTAACTCTGGCCATGCTAGAGTCTCAGTTGGCCTACATTATCGGGACAAAGTAAGTTGCATTGAGTGAGAACTGTAGCTATTTGATAATCTAAGCTGATGGACACCAAGAAAGTATCCAATCAAGATGAACAGAATCAAATGAGTTCAACAAGGTGAATGCTGAATTGCACTCACTCATCAATTACAAAACAAACGTGTAAGAGAATGCACAAGTGGGTTAACTTACAAATCACTTTAAAAAGATTATTACAGCACATATCATGCACTCATGATTCCAACAATCCTGCACACATCAAGCACTCATGATTCTAGCAATCTATGTAATTAGACAATTGCACAAGTCAACATTTATTTTTTTCCATGTAAAGCAAAGGCCAAATCATTTTTTACATTTAGTGCAAGTGAGTTGAGGGATAGATAGGAGATTGTAATTAAAGTGAGGGACATAAAGGACATTTTGAAGGGCGAATGCATTCTTACAACCTCTTACCTCTTCAATAGGGCTCCTAGCAAATCTCTTCAAAATCAAAGTCCTTTTCAATCACTCACACAAACTCTGCCCAACGACAATCACCTTCGGGTGTTTGGTTGCCTTTGCTATGCTTAAACTCTTACTGTCCATTGAGATAAATTTTCTTCTCGTGCATCCCACTGCGTCTTTCTTGGTTACCCAAACAACTGAAAAGAATACAAGTTATACAATCTTGACACACATGCTATTTTTTACTCCCGCGACGTCACCTTTTATGAAAATCAATTTCCATTCCACAATCATATCCCTTCCTATACACCAAGCAACACTATCCTTCCTTTACCTATCCCAGAAGATACTTGCACTTCCATAACCCCACCTCTAAATTCCACCCCTCCCGCCCCTCCCACTTCTTAGCCACGCCGCACTATCATTTGACCAGCATATCTTCTTGAATATGTTTGTATCACCATTGCCACGGAGTCCATTGCTATTTCAACCGCTGCACAGGCCTCTGATATTTCTTATCCCTTATCTACTTTTCTTTCTTACTCTCATTTTTCTCCCGACCATTTTTCTTTCTTAACTGTACTTACTACCTTTGTTGATCCTACTTGTTATTCAGAATCTAATCGTCACTCTCATTGGCATGAAGCCATGACCTCTGAACTCTGTGCCCTAGAAGAAAACTCCACTTGGACATTAGAACCTCTCCCACATGGTAAAAAGCCCATCGATTACAAATGGGTCTGTAAAACCAAATTTCGAGCAGATGTTACCATTGAGCGTCACAAAGCTGGACTTGTGGGAAAAGGCTACACTCAAGTTGAAGGCATTGATTATCATGAAACCTTTGCCCCGGTTGCCAAAATGACCACAATCTGCTGTTTTCTTGCAGTTGCCGTCGCCAAACATTGGATTATCCACCAAATGGATGTTAACAATGCATTCTTACATGGCGACCTTGATGAAGAAGTTTATCTGACACCACCACCCAGTTTTGTCTTCAGGAGGAGACACGTGTTTGCCGCTTCGAAAATCTCTCTACGGTCTCAAGCAGGCTTCCCAGAACTAGTTTTTTAAATTAACATCTATTCTTTTTACTGCAGGTTTTGTCCAATCGCAGGCCGATCACTCTTTCTTCACAATCATTACTGCCACCAACATTACCATTGTGCTCGTTTATGTTGATGACATCTTGGTCATCGGAAATGATCTTCCTCAAGTTACTCACTTCAAGTCTGTTATTTCTACTCACTTCAAATCCAAGGATCTCGGCCCTCTCAAGTACTTTCTTGGCCTTGAACTTGCTCGCTCACCTTCAGGCATTTTCCTTAATCAACGAAAATATACCTTGGACATTCTTGCCGATGCGGACTACTTGGCTCTCGCCCTGCTCCTTTTCATATGGATCATAACCTGAAACTTCGCACACTGATGGCGAGCTCCTCTCTGATCCCGGTCCTTATCGTCGGTTAGTCGGGCGCCTCATTTATCTCACCATCACAAGACCCGACATTATTTTTGTAGTAAACATTATCAGCCAATTCATGCATAAACCAAGGTTTCCGCACACGACAGCTACCACACTCGTTCTTCGCTACATCAAAGGTACTTTAGGTCAAGGCATCTTCTTCCCTTCCTCCAATGATCTGCATGTTCATGCTTATATGGATTCTGATTGGGCCAGCTGTCCTACCACTGGACGTTCTACCACTGGCTTCTTCATCACTCTTGGTTCTAGTCCCATTTCGTGGCGCACTAAGAAACAGACCACCGTCGTTTGCTCATCTACGGAAGCTGAATATCGCGCCATGGCCGTCACTACATATGAACTAGTTTGGATACAACAGTTACTTCATGACATCGACATCTCTCACAAGGACCCCATGCCTCTCTACTGTGACAATCAGTTTGCCTTCTACATTGCTCAGAATCCAGTTTTTCACGAGCGGACTAAACGTATTGAAATTGACTGCCACATTGTTCGTGACAAACTTCGCTCTGGTCTCTTTACCACTATTCATCTCCCATCCTCTGAGCAGGTCGCCGACATCTTCACCAAAGCTTTGGGTTCTGACCTCTTCCATCACTTATCTCGCAAGTTGGGCATTACGGATCTTCATGTACCAACTTGAGGGGGAGTATTACAGCACATACACGCACTCATTCCAGTAGCACACATCAAGCACTCATGATTTTAGCAATCCCATGTAATTAGACAATTGCACAAGTCAACATTTAATCTTACACACATCAAGCACTCATGATTCTAGCAATCCCATGTAATTAGACAATTGCACAAGTCAAAATTTATTTCTTTTCATGTAAAGCAAAGGCATGTATAGCTAAATATTGACATACGAAATCAATAAGAATGTATCACAAAAATATTCAGCCAAATCATCTTTTACAAAGATGGAATCAAGATTTCAAATTCTTGAAAAAGGCTAGAATGTCGTTCCGAAGATTGATAAAAACCCGAGTTCATCTCCTCAACATTCTCAACCACTAGTACCCGTGATGCAATTAACACCCAAATTTTGTGTGCAAGAGAGAAAAATTGACGATGATACGAATGTAGATGAAAATATACCAGTATATATCAGTCCACATTCAATTATAAAAGAAAACGTATACCATTATGCTATATGACTCCTTTAGTGTCTTGATCTATTTGTCTATTTAACCATTTTGGGGGTAAGTCAAATATAATTATCCATACTACTAGGCATCATAATTATCAATTTGTCGCACTTATGTCACCAACTTTTGTTATCGCAATCTTCTCAACTTTTCATTAATTAGAACTATTGTCCCTAATGATGGTTTCATCCAAAAATTACGTTAAGGAGTAAAAGACTTATTTGCCCCTTGTAGTTTTAAATAAGAAAATAATAAATGTACAACTTTTCCTAAATATTTGAATAAATCTAAGTGTACAATATTGGTTGACAACAACGGTTGACAACCATGTGTTGTCAAATTCCTACCATGTGATGTAATAAACAGTTTTTTATAATAGATGAATATGATGTGCCAAATAGGATGTTGTCATCCAATATTGTACATGTAGCATGATTCTAAATATTTATCCCTCATTTTAAAATATGCTAACAAAATTTTTGGAGGGTGAAATTAAAATTTGATTCATTTATAAAAAAAAATAAAGTAAAAAATAACCACCCTTTTGTGCTGCACCGGATTCAATGCACCGTTGTCCACGGGAATGACAATAAATATATGGAGAGAACTGTCAGAGGCAACCAAGAATATTATTGGAGAAATCAACTTTCCCACTTAGCTCCTATCTATATTTTTCTCTATATGTTTTTCTTACTTTAGAGTTCAAGTGAAACAAGTGAAGAAGTCTTGCAATTATAGAATCAAAACCATTTGAATTCAAATGCAAATATTGTACTGTGAAAGGGACATGACTAGTAGGGTGATTAACCGCAAAATTTAAAGCCAAATCAACTAGCACATTCCTTTCTAAGTCTTCAAGACCAAAAAACACGTGCCAAGTGGATTTAAGTGATCCACCTCACAATTCTGATGTGTAATTCTATGTTGGTAACATTTTGTCGACCGACTTATGTTATGATTTCCAATAACGTAAACAGAAGTGAGGGGGAAGAAGTGGCAGCCGTCTGGTGAGGTGTTTCAAGCTGAATACTAATGCTGCTGAACATGGAGTCAAGATTTTTTCGAGATTGGGGCAGTGGTGCAAGGCCATGTGGTATTTATAAAGTGTGGCAGGAGAAGAAACAAAAATAGGATTAAAAAACAAATTCACATTGCACATTCAGAGAATAGACATTAATGGGGGAGCAAGTACTATGTTGTCTTATTCTTATTGGAAGAGACAGACACAGCACCCGTGCATCTATAATATCGAGCCAATTAAGGATTATATAATCTTTGCCATATCATGATAGAGAATGACATTTCTCAAGTAATTAATTTTCTAATTAGATGGATGAGTTGTAAAACTGGTGGTGAGGGAGACATTGCGTAAACAGTGCTTGTCGCTACTCACAGATCCAAATCCATATCGATATATTTGGTATTAGTTAAACAATTCAAGATTCCTCATGTCTCCTTTCACTTCTTGATATAAAATCATCAAATTAAAGCTAAGATTGTATCATTATTCTTCAAGTTCTATACCTTCAAAGAAATAGCAAACAAAATGGCTTCCTCTCCTATGAGGTTGAGGTCTAAAACCCGGTTTCATGCTCGTTCTATTAGCTTTCCCTCTAGATCACATCCTCTAATTTCTCAATTCAATGATTACCTTTTGAGAATGGAATTAGATTCCGAGGCTACCTCTTCTTCACCTAACTTGTCATCAATGAGCAACAAACTGAGTAGCCTCGAGAATTTATACGAGTGTGTGGATGAATTGTTGCAATTGCCATATACTCAACAAGTTTTTGCTCGAGAATCACATGAGAAATGGGTTGACCAAACATTGGAAGGACATCTTAGGCTTTTGGATGCTTGCAACACTACCAAACAAGTGTTCTCACAAACGAAAGAGGACTTGCAAAATATACTTTCCGTCCTCAGGAGAAGACGGGAAGCTGATGATCTCTACAGCTATTCAATTTCTCGAACAAAGGCGAAGAAGATGATCCACAAATCTCTAAAAGAAATGAATTGTTCCAGACATATTAAGTGCACTGTCGTAGAGTCAGAAAAGGACCATGAAACAATAGCTATCATAAGCATGCTCAGGGAGGTTGAGTCAGTTACCTTGGACCTGTTTGAGTCCTTTTTGTCCTACGTTGCTGGGACAAATGTTCAATCAGGGTGGAGTAGGTGGTCCTTGGTTTCCAGGCTGATGCATTCCAGAAGAGTATCGTATGACGAAATTTTTTTGAATGAATTCGAAAAGGTAGATGCAGGCTTAATGTCACTTGCTGGTACAAAATTTACCATGGGGCGGACTGAAAATGTACAAAATGAATTGAGAGAGATGGAGTCAAGCATTCAAATTCTTGAAGAAGGATTGGAGTGCGTGTTCAAGCGCCTCATTAAAACTAGAGTTTCTCTTCTTAACATGCTAAGCCATTAGCCTGCAACTCACTGTAATTTTCGTTGTGAAAATAAGTGTTAAGACGAGCATAATTGTACATATATACCAATACTCTTGTAGCATCTATATTCCATTGAAAAACATATATGGAGACATGTCAATATTTCTGCGAAAATGATCTCTGTTTGATTGAATAGCTTTTTTGGATGCCAATATACTGTTTTACATAGGATGGAATTAGTCTAATTCAAGAAATGAATCACGCAAATTTCAAGAAATCATTTTACACGAATGCGATAAATAGGATGATCCTATCACTGATCGTCTTTTTGCCCTTTTCTGGATGAAGCTTCCGCCCAACACACATGATGCGAACCCACGTAGCAATTGTAGCTACGGAAC